TCTAGCATCTATGGAGACAATGAATCCATTTTGAGTTTTATTCCCAACTTTAAAGGTGCTGAACAGTGTCCAAAGAAGACGTCCAGTATCATGGATAACTGCTTTAACATTTAGACTAAAATAGAGCCACCAGCTGCCACTGAGAAAGAATGAAACCTAACTGGGGAAATCTGCTCATCCCTAACTACAACACACAGTCTCTCTTTGCCTTCCATTCTAGGAGAGGGGAAATAAGCCAGCTGATAGCAACAATATTTGTTTTCCACACTCCATTAGGAGCCTAGAAGCAATTCATGCATGATCCCCAAATCTTCACCCAGCTAATTAAAAAGAATGTTTCCCATCTCCTCTTGTGCCAATTGCATCTGGAACTGGATGGCTTCTATAAACATGAAGGGATTTCTGGGGCGGGGGGGGCGGCAGGGAGGCTGAGCATAAGGACAGATCACAATAAATCTATGCCGACAGGTACAAGCAAATTGGTCTATGGAAGTGACATATCTCTCAGCTTAAATGTCTACCACAAATCCCAAAGAGGCAGGGTAGGATTTAATCTAATTGGCTGTGCCACTTCCTTATGGCTTAATGTGAAAATCACGGCAATTACATCTGACTGTACTTAGCCCGGGTGCTGAGAATTCGTTTATTAGGCTATTAGGAATCAAGAAAAACCTGAGGTTGGAAATAATTTGGCTATCTCTGTTACATGCGTGGCTTGGGAGTTAGTTTGTGGTCACATTCACCAAATTGCTATTGATGAAGCAGCACTGCGAGAAATGGACATAATTTATTCATTGTTTCAGTTAGGGAATTTTGTATCACCCTTCCTTATTGTTTTTTTTCTTTTCCCAGTTCAGTTCACAAGGCAAAAGTCTACAGGAATAGGTAGTGGGCAGTTAGCAACATCCCTTCTAATGTCCATAAGGTCATCTAAAACAGTGGTTTTCAACCAGATGTTTTGGACTTCAATTCCCAGAAGCCCTAGCCAACAGTCAAGGATTCCAGGGTTTTAAGTCTAAGCCCTGGATTGAATAGTTAGTCCCAAGAAATCAGGACCCATTGAATCAATTCAACACTAATATCATTTTCCTTGCTTTAGTGGGTCTACTCTAGTTAGGACTAGCAGCTGGAGTTAGTGCTGAAATATCTGGAGACCAAAACATTGAAAACCACTGATCTAAAATACAGATTTAGGATACTGAGGATAAAAGACAAATGCTTATTTATTTACAAGATTGGGACTCATGGTGGCTAATAAATATTAAAACCAGAGAAGATTAAACATGTGCAGAAACTTCAATACACACAGAAACATGTACAACTAAACAACTTAAACAACCTATACCATTGAAAATGTATTACAAGACAAAATATTTTTTTAAAAAGGTTCACCATTAAATGCCCATTGCAGCCAATTCATACAATCATAGAATCATAGAGTTGAAAGAGACAAGGGTCATCCAGTCCAACATGCTGCCATGTAGAAATTCACAATCCAAGCACTACAGAAAGATGGCTATCAAGCTTCTGTTTAAAAACCTCCAAAGAAGGAGATTCTACCACTTTCTGAGAGAATGTGTTCCACTGACAAGCAGCTCTTACTGTCAGGATGTTCTTCCTAAGGTTGAAGTAGAATTTCTTTTCCTCTAGTTTGCATCCATTGCTCCAGGTCCTATTCTCTGGAGCAGCAGAAAACAGGCTTGGTCTATTCTCAATATGGCATCCCATCAAATATTTAAACATGGCTACAGTCAGATCTCTCTAATCTGTGGGGGATCCATTCCAGACCCCCCTGCGTGGATGCCAAAATTCACACATGCTCAAGTCCTGTTTTTCTTAATGGTGGTGTGGCACACATGTTTGCTAGCACAGCTGCATGTACATGCTGCCATTAAAAAAATCAGGACTTGTCATTCATGGATGATTAAATCCATGGATGTCATGTCTGCTCATATGGAGAGTGGACCGTATTTATTTCAAGGATTTATATCCTGCCTTTCTCCCACAATGGGATT